TTCACTTTATGAGATATGAAATAAACATCTGAAAAAAAATGAAATTTGAGATTGACCTTGGAAGATTTTATGATGCTCATGAAGTTTAAACCAGGATCGTATGCAGATCACATAAACATATATTAGTTACAGAATGGTGAGAGGACTTTGTTTCTTCATTTTTATTGGGGCATAATTGACAAATAGAAATTGTATGTATTGGCCAGGCGAGGTGGCTCATGCCTGTAATCTCAGCACTTTGGGAGGCTGAGGCGGGCAGATCACAAAGTCAGGAGATGGAGACCATTCTGGCCAACATAATGAAACCCAATCCCTACTAAAAATAGAAAAATTAGGCGGGCATGGTGGCACGTGCCTGTAGTCCCAGCTACTCGGGAGGCTGAGGCAGGAGAATCGCCTGAATTTGGGAGGTGGAGATTGCAGTGAGCTGAGATCATGCCATTGCACTCCAGCCTGGGTGACAGAGCAAGACTTTGTCTCAAATAAAAAAAAAGAAAAAGAAATAGTCTATATTTAAGGACTTTCTGCTCGATATTTGTACGTGTACATTATGAAATGATCACCACAATCAAGCTAATTAACATACCTATCACCTCACATGGTTACCTTTTTTCCTTTATGGTAAGAACACTTAAGATCTACCCTCCTGGCAGATTTCAAGTATACAATACAGCATTGTTTGGTTTTCTGTTTTTTGGTTTTTTGGTTTTTTTTTGAGATAGAGTCTGATTCTGTTGCCCAGGCTGGAGTATAGTGGTGCCATCTCGGCTCACCACAACCTCCACCTCCTGTGTTCAAGCGATTCTCCTGTCTCAGCCTCCTGAGTAGCTTGGATTACAGGCACTTGCCACCACACCCAGCTCATTTTTTTGTATTTTTAGTAGAGACAGGGTTTCACCATGTTAGCCAGGATGGTCTTGATCTCCTGACCTCAGGATCCACCTGCCCTGAGCTGCCAAAATGCTGGGATTACAGGCATGAGACACCGCACCCAGCCACTACAGCATTGTTAACTATGGTCACAGTGCTGTACATCAGATCTCCAGAACTTATTCATCTTGCGTAATTGAAACTTGTATGCTTTGACCAGTATTTTCCCATTTCCCTCACTCACTCCCCAACCCCTGGCAACCCCCATTCTATTCTGTGCCTCTATGAGTTAGGCTGCTTTTTTTTTTTTTTTTAGACAGAGTCTTGCTCTGTCGCCCAGGCTGGAGTGCAGTGGTGAGATCTTGGCCCACTGCAACCTCTGCTTCCCAGGTTCAAGTGATTCTCCTGCGTCAGCCTTCCAGGTAGCTGGGATTACAGGCGCCAGCCACCACGCCTGTCCAATTTTTGTATTTTTGGTAGAGATAGGTTTTCGCCATGTTGGCCAGGCTGGTCTCGTTCTCCTGCCCTCAGGTGATCCGCCAGTCTCAGCCTCCCAAAGTGCTGGGATTACAGGCATGGGCCACCACACCTGGCCTCATTTTAGCCTCACATATAAGTGAGATTATGCAGTATTTGTCTTTCTGCGTCTGGCTTATTTTATTTGGCATAATTTCCTCAAGGGAGGACATTTCTAATAGGGGTAATAGCATTCACTTCACTTCTGGTGACCTAATACGTAATCTCTTTGTGCTTCAGGAAAAGAAAATGCTAAAATATGATGTTGGATATGTTAAGTAGGTACACATGTCCTTACTGACCCTTTTGCTCTGTGTATCAGGTACTATTTGTTTTCCCTCATCATGAATTTGAGCCGTGATGCTTATGAGATTCGCCTACTGATGGAACAAGAGTCTTCAGCTTGTAGCCGGCGACTGAAAGGTTCCGGAGGAGGAGTCCCAGGAGGAATTGAAACTGGGGGACTTGGGGGACCAGGGACCCCAGGAGGAGGTCTGCCCCAACTGGCTCTGAAACTTCGGCTCCAAGTCCTGCTCCTGGCTCGAGTCCTTAGAGGTCATCCCCCACTTCTGCTGGATGTGGTCAGAAATGCCTGTGATCTCTTCATTCCACTGGACAAACTAGGCCTCTGGCGTTGTGGCCCTGGGATTGTGGGGCTTTGTGGCCTCGTGTCCTCCATCCTGTCTATTCTCACCCTAATCTATCCCTGGCTACGACTCAAGCCCTGACTTTCTGGTACAGGATAAGGGGGGGACCTAAATTGGTGAGATGGAATCTTAGATCATCCCTCATGTGCCAGCCTCCTTCTAATTCTAGTTAAAAAGTTCAAATTAGAAATTCAGGGATTTGGGGTGGAGGACGAGCTTTGGGGAGGATGAGTTGAGGAAAGGTGACTATGAAGTTAATAGGATGACTCTAATTTCTAGATGTGCCTGGGCTTCTGTTCTTTTCCTCTTTCATTGTCTATGTCTCTCTTGAATGTGTTTACTTTGTGCCTCTTAAGTCTATTTAAGATTCTGTGTCCATCTGTCTTTTTTTTTATTATTATTAAATCTCATTCTATCCAGAGATTTAATCAGCAGAATTACTTTTTTAGGAGAAGTATAAGATTTTGTCTGTAAGGTTCTAATTGCCTTCTTTTTTCTCACAGAGGTGGCTTATGGCAGATTTTTCCTTCTTCACATTCCAAATCATAATTTTTAAGCCTTGATGTGCCAGTGGACTCTTCCCTCGTATCTCTGCACCACAAGCTGTTTGACGTTTCCTCTTCCTCCCTCGTGTCTACCTCACCAACTTTGCTTGTGATTTGGCCCTTATCCTTCCTTGTACACATACCTTCAGATTTCTGCTGACACTGATTTCAGAGCTTTATTCCCTAGCCTGTTCTTACCCCTTCGTTGCTTATCCAGAATGATGCTGTGTCTAGCATCTTCCTGTAAATACTGTACAATGATTCTGTGTAAATAGATGTGGCCTGTGCCAATAATGAAGAGCAAGCCTTTCAGGTAAGCAAATTAAAGTTAGTTTGCTCATCAGCGTTTAGTCTGGTCCCTCACTTTTTGGTCATTTGAAGCCCCTATTTCTGTCACTGTGGTTTGGGTTTTTCATGGGATTAGCCACTAACATCACCCACATTACTTTTATTGAGCGCCTACAGTATGCAAAGCAAAATACGAAGTAACGGGCATCCAAAAATCTAAGAAGCTCCACGACTTTAAGAAGTCTATAACCTAGTTGAGGAGTTGGAGTAGCAGAGGGATGGTCTAATACTAAAGTTATTATCCTGGCTCCGCAAAACACATCTCATACCAATTCAGATATAGTTCCTCTAAGAAGTAGAATGCCACATGTCAGCATAGGCTAAGAGCCAAGAACAGAATCAAGTGGATTCGGGCTGGTAAGAATTTGGAGCTGTGTCTTCACATGTTGGGACTCCCCTAGGTGGGTAGGGAAATGATACCACTGCTGTCAGCTCTTTGATTTTCCGTATTACAGGTTGAGATAATTAGGTGAGGAGGTGAAAAGAATCTATCGGCCAGGAGTGGTGGCTCATGCTGGCAATCCCAGTACTTTGGGAGGCTGAGGCAGTTGGATCGCTTAAGGTCAGGAGTTCAAGACCAGCCTGGCCAACATGGTAAAACCCCACCTCGACTAAAAATACAAAAATTAGCCAGGCATGGTGGCATGTGCCTGTAGTCCCAGCTACATGGGAGGCTGAGTCATGAGAAATGCTTGAACCTGGGAGACAGAGGTTGCAGTGAGCCAAGATTGTACCACCGCACTCCAGCCTGGGTGACAGAGTGAGACTCTGCCTTAAAAAAGAAAAAAAAAAAAAAAAAAAAGGATCGATTCCCTACCTCCCAGCCGGGTACAGTGGCTCACTTTGGGAGGCTGAGGCAGAAGGATTCCTTCAGTTCAGGAGTTCAAGACCAGCCTGGGCAACATAGTGAAACCCTGTCTCTATTCTCAATATAAATAATAATAATTTCTCTAGCCAGGTGCAGTGGCTCACACCTGTAATCCCAGCACTTTGGGAGGCCGAGTTGGGCAGATCATGAGGTCAAGAGTTCAAGACCATCCTGACTAACATTGTAAAACCCCATCTCTATTAAAAATACAAAAATTAGCCAGGTGTGGTGGTGAATACATGTAATCCCAGCTACTCGAGGCTGAGACAGGAGAATCCCTTGAACCTGGGAGGCAGAGGTTGCAGTGATCCGAGATTAGGCCACTGCACTCCAGCTGGGCTACAGAGCAAGATTCCATCTAAAAAAAAATTGTCTAAAACTTTTAGACAAAAGTTTAAGATTTTTTCTTATTAAAAAAAAAATAATTCCTACTCCTGTTCCAAATTTGAAGAAAGTATTATTAACCTGGCAACAATAAAGGGAAGAAAAGAAGAAATGGCTGAAATGGGCAAAAAAAAAATGTTCTCTTTGGATATAGAGATGAGGCCTGCAGGGGGCAGCACCAAGGCAGAGAAATAGACTAAGACTACTCAGTCCTTTCCTTGGTCTGGGGCTCCCCGCAGTTCCCCACCATCACTCCTCCCATTCCTTTCAACTTTATTTTTAGCTGCCAGTGGGAGGGGGCAGGATGGGAGGGAAAGTAAAGAAAACAGAAAAAGAGAGGGACAGACAGAGGCCAGAGAACTTCTCATACTGGACAAAACGATCAGGCATGGAGCTCCCCCTCGTCACTCACCTGTGCTTGCCCCTGATGCTCCTGACAGGTGAGGGAGGTTAACTTCTTGGTTTCTGGTGGGAATGGAAGATATATAGATTGTTTGGAATTGGGACGGTTAAAATTCTTTGGAATTTAGGTTAGGAAGCAAACTCTGGTCCTGTATTTCTTGTATGAGTGGCTGTGTGCTTGTGCATTTTTATGCCCTCATGTATGACTGTTTCAATATTGGGACTGGCAGGGGCTAAAGCTGCCTAGGACCTTATGTAAGATTTGTATCTAATAATAATAATGATTATTTTTTAAAGAGAGGGTCTGACTTTGTTGCCTAGGCTGGAATGCAGTGGCTCGGTAGTGGGGACTACAAGGTACACGCCACCATGCCCAGTTTTTGTTGTTGTTGTTATTTTGAGACATGGTCTCACTCTGTCACCCCAGCTGGAGTGCAGTGGCATGATTATAACTCACTCTAGCCTCAACCTCCCAGGCTGAGGTGATCCTCCCACCTTGGCCTCCCGAATAGGTGGGACTATAGGCATGTACCACCATGCCTGGCTAATTTTTTTTTTTTAAGAGACAGAGTTTTGCCATGTCTAGTTGGCCAACAGAGTTGGCCAGGCTGGTCTTTAACTCCTGGACTCAAGCAACCCATCCACCTCAGCTGCCCAAAGTGCAGGGATTACAGGCATGAGCCACCATGCCTGGCCAAGATTTGTATCTAAATATATAAAATTTTCATCCTAAGCCCTGTAGGAGCAAGAAGATGAAAAAGAAATGAGATGTGACCTTCCACGTGGCCAGTCTGATTCCTATTATCCCCTCCCTAACTTCTCCTTACCCTTGGTGGTCCCTGGGACTTGAGGCATAACTGACTAACTATGTGGTCAGAACTCTGGGTTCATCTAACCAATAAGCTGCAGTTTCTGATTCATCTAACCAATAAGCTGCAGTTTCATATAGCCCTGCCAGTTTTTTGGATGCAAAATTGCTCACATACAAAACACCTTTCTGCAAATGAGCATGGTTTGGGATAAAGCTATAGCCATTGGTAATGGTGTGGGGGGTGGGGGTGAAGGGTAGCCCGAGAAGGGGTTGCTTAGAAGTACAGAGCAAGACGTAGTTGGGAAAAGAACCATGGGAAAGACATGAGGCCTGGAATTTTCCCTTGGCAGTGCCCTGTAATCGTTGTTTCCTAAAATACCAGCTCTGATTTTAAAGGCATTGGGGTCAAAGGGAAGATCGGCCAGGAGGGGGCACCTTTAGAGTGGGCTGAAGGCTGAAGAAACCATGGAGGTAGTGGGGAGAGTAGATGAGTTAAAAAGGAAGCAGGTTGTGGGAAACATTGGGGTGATGGGACCCTTGGCAAGGATGGATGGCAAACTATGTGTGTGGGCAGGCGGGTGGCCCCACCCAGTTAATTGCTACTGAGATTTCCAAGGCTGCAATCAACCAGGGACCTAGACATTGGAGAAAGACAGAGTGTGACAATGACACTGGGAGTCAGGAAGAGAGAAGGAGAGAGCCAGATGTGCAGTGCTCCTTAGCTTCCTTTCATTTGGGGAGAATTGGAAGCAATGGTTGTTCTGGGGCTACAGAAAGGCCCTCTCCCTCTTTTGACCTCACAGTTTGTTGAGGAGATTGTGTAGGAGGAATGATGTGGAAAAGAGTAACTTGACCTTTTCAGACATGTCTGTGAATGAAATTTCAGGGGTGGGAATGGAAATACAGCTGTACATCAGCATGGCAGAGGGCCATAGGTTAGGCATCTGGACACAAACACAGGAAGGGGATCATCTTTGCCTGGGGCTCTGAATACATGACTCTGAGAGAGGCCAGAAAAGCTTATGAGTGAAAAAGCAGGCAGACAGATTGAGATTAAGAGATTCCCTCACAGCTTCTCTCTGGCTGTGCCTCTAGTCATTCACTACCTCATGCTAACCTTATGATCCTTGTCCCACAGGTCTCTGCTCCCCCTTTAACCTGGATGACCATCACCCACGCCTATTCCCAGGGCCGCCAGGAGCGGAATTTGGCTACAGCGTCTTACAACACGTTGTGGGTGGACAGCGATGGTGAGGAAGAAACCAGAGTGCCATGGGATTGGGACTGCAGGAGTGCTCAAAAGGGGAGGCAAGATAGATGGGACTCTAAACTCATCTGGCCTTTTGAAAGTGGCTGGGGCTCTAAACTTGCCACCTCCATGCTCTTTCCCTTTGGCCTATGTCAACGATCATGTTTGCCCTATGCTTATATTCACATCCTCCTCCCAGGATGCTGGTGGGCGCCCCCTGGGATGGGCCTTCAGGCGACCGGAGGGGGGACGTTTATCGCTGCCCTGTAGGGGGGGGCCACAATGCCCCATGTGCCAAGGGCCACTTAGGTAAGATTCCTGACCCTTTTCCTCCTAACTCCTGGCCTTGATACCCTACAAGTTTCAACCCCCATACCTCAGCTTCTTCACCGCTAAAATTCACATACTCCCTGTCCCCAATCTAATATCAATCCCTGCTTATTCTCCAAAATCACATGAATTTAAGTGCCCCATCTGTGACCCCATGATCTCATTTTCTTCCACCTCCTTCCAACCAGGTGACTATCAACTGGGAAATTCATCTCATCCTGCTGTGAATATGCACCTGGGGATGTCTCTGTTAGAGACAGATGGTGATGGGGGATTCATGGTGAGCTAAGGAAAGGGTGGTTGCAGTGTCTCTCTGAAGGTCCATAGCAGAAAAAAGAGCAGTGTGGTAAGGGAACGTGGTCTGTAGCGGCAGGGGGAGGGGTGGTCAAGAACTTAAAAACCCTAGAAAGCAAGGTAGGTAATGTCGGGGAGTGGTCTTCATGCCGCCTTCGACTGGGAGCATGTTCTCAGGGTGCCCTCCCAAGCCTGGGAGTAACTATTTCCCCCATCCTCAGGCCTGTGCCCCTCTCTGGTCTCGTGCTTGTGGCAGCTCTGTCTTCAGTTCTGGGATATGTGCCCATGTGGATGCTTCATTCCGGCCCCAGGGAAGCCTGGCACCCACTGCCCAACGTGAGCCAGAGGAAGGGCCTGAGGACTTAGTTCCTGGAATGGGATACTGGGAGGGAAAAAGATGGGGCAAAGGGGTATGATGCCTGGCAGAGGGCCTGCATGGCTAGCCTCAGTGCTACCTAATGTGCTTGCAAAAGCTCCATGTTTCCTAACAGATTAGAATTCAGACTCCTGGCCAGGTGTGGTGGCTCACACCTGTAATCCCAGCACTTTGGGAGGCCAAGGTGGGCAGATCACTTGAGGTCAGGAGTTCGAGACCAGCCTGGCCAACGTGGTGAAACCCCGTCTCTACAAAACAAACAAACAAACAAACAAAAAAAAAAATTAGCCGGGCATGGTGGTACATGCCAGATACTCGGGAGGCTGAGGCAGGAGAATCTCGCTTCAACCCAGGAGGTGGAGGTTGCAGTAAGCTGAGATCACACCACTGCACTCTAGCCTGGGTGACAGAGTAAGTGAGACTCCGTCTCAATAATAATAATAATAATAATAATAATTCAGACTCCTTATCAGGAGTCCATGATCTGGCCTGGTGCAGTAGCTCATGCCTGTAATCCCCACATTTTGAGAGACCAAGGCAGGAGTATTGCTTGAGGTCTGGAGTTTGAGACCAGCCTGGGCAACATAGAGAGACCCCCTTCTCTACAAAAATAAAAAATAAAAAAATTAGCCAGGCATGGTGGTAAATGCCTGCAGTCCCAGCTACTCGGGAGGGAGGATCACTTGAGCCCAGGGGGTCAAGGCTGCAGTGAGCCATGATTATGGCACTACACTCCAGCCTGAGCCACAGAGTGAGACTCTGTCTCAAAAACAAACAAAATGTTCTCTGCCCAAATGCTTTTCCCTATATTATCTTCTCCTTAAACATTTTCAGTCTTCATTATCTTCTTAGTTGCTACTGCGTTTCATTCCCCACCATCAGAACCAATCCTCTTTCATTCCCTCACAGTACAGAGTCATGCTGTGTTCCTACCTAGCATTTAATTCCTTCTTGTTTTTTAGAACATTTTATGGCCGGGCGCGGTGGCTCACGCCTATAATCCCAGCACTTTGGGAGGCCGAGGCGGGTGGATCACGAGGTCAAGAGATTGAGACCATCCTGGTCAACATGGTGAAACCCCGTCTCTACTAAAAATACAAAAATCAGCTGGGCATGGTGGCGCACACCTGTAGTCCCAGCTACTCGGGAGGCTGGGGCAGGAGAATTGCCTGAACCCAGGAGGCAGAGGTTGCGGTGAGCCGAGATCTCGCCATTGCACTCCAGCCTGGGTAACAAGAGCGAAACTCCACCTCAAAAAAAAAAATAAATAAATAAATAATAAGAACATTTTACACAGAAATTATATTTATGTATATAAATGGGTATATGTGTGTGTTTATAGACCTATATATACATGCACACATATATATACATTTATATATATATACTTACAATTACTAAAATTACTAAAGTAATCTTTTGTTAATTTCTACACTTACACAGAGCCTGGCACACTACCTTCTCTGCATGTAAGAAGTGCCTTATAAATGTCTAAATTGAATGTGTCATCCTGTAACCTCTTTCCTTTGTTGCCCCAGCTCAGTGTCTTCTACCTCTGTGTTTCCCATCACCATATCCTTCCTTCTAGGCTGCCCAACGTACATGGATGTGGTCATCGTCTTGGATGGCTCCAACAGCATCTACCCCTGGTCTGAAGTTCAGACCTTCCTGCGAAGACTGGTAGGGAAACTGTTTATTGACCCGGAACAGATACAGGTAAGAGAAGGCAATATGAGCTGGGTGCAGTTGTTTGTGCCAGCTACTCAAGAGGTAGAGGTGGGAGGATCCCTTGAGGCCAGGCATTCAAGACTAGCCTGGGCAGTATAGTGAGACCTCATCTCTAAAAATAGGAAAAAAAATTAGCCAGGCATGGTGGCATGTACCTGCAGCCCTTCTACTGGGGAGGCTGAGGCAAGAGATCACTTGAGCCCCTGAGTTTGAGGCTGCAGGGAGCTTTGATCACACAGCTGCACTCCCGCCTGGGTGAAAGAGTGAGACCTCATCTCTTAGAGAAAGAGCAAATGGCAATATGGATGGGCTTGGAAGGGGAGGGACAGAGAGGAGATGAATGTAGGTGGTGTCTTCAGTAGTATCCATGTGTTCATCTCTCCTCTCTCACACACTTTCTTCTTCCTCCTCTCCCCCCATCCCATATACAACATTGCATTTGAACGCACTTTATTCCCAGGTGGGACTGGTACAGTATGGGGAGAGCCCTGTACATGAGTGGTCCCTGGGAGATTTCCGAACCAAGGAAGAAGTGGTGAGAGCAGCAAAGAACCTCAGTCGGCGGGAGGGACGAGAAACAAAGACTGCCCAAGCAATAATGGTGGCCTGGTGAGGCGCTGGGAAGAGGGGTGGGGGAGGCTAGAGCAATGAAGGCTTAGAAGAGTTAGGGCGCGTTTGGAGTGCAGTGTGTATAACCCGAGGTGTCTTGCATGCTTATCTTTTTGTATGTACATGAATGGGGCCCAGAGGAAGGCTAAGAAGTTGTCATTGCACTCCCTCTCTCTGCATTTCTGCGAAGTGTCTACGCCTGTGTCTCTCCATGTTTCACAGACAGAATTCTCTTTCTATCCGTCCACTCCAACAATGATCCTGGCCCTCAGGTTCTCCACTACTGATGTCCCAGCCCATGTTCCAAACATGATCCAAAACTCATCTCTAGGGCGAGGTGGTAAAACTGAAACAAAACAAAACAACTCATCTCTGGGAGGCGTCCCTGCCCGGAGCATTCTCTTCTGTTCTGTATTTCCTTAGTATTTGTCCTCTCAAGTGCAATATTTGTTGAATGAATCTGAGTGTATGAATGTTGTACTTATTTGCATTGATAAGCTACTCTGTATGTTCTATGACATTCAAACATTTGAGCTGTCACTACATGCCCGTTTCCATCTTAGATGCTCAGGAAATGGCCTAGAAGGCAAGATGCCCGAACTCAGTGAACTGCTGATGCTAAATTGTGTGTGTGTGTGTGCGCGCGCGTGTGTGTGTGTGTTTGCATACGTCTGATCACACCTCACTGCTTTCTCTCTCTTCTCAGCACAGAAGGGTTCAGTCAGTCCCATGGGGGCCGACCCGAGGCTGCCAGGCTGCTGGTGGTTGTCACTGATGGAGAGTCCCACGATGGAGAGGAGCTTCCTGCAGCACTAAAGGCCTGTGAGGCTGGAAGAGTGACACGCTACGGGATTGCAGTGAGAATTGACCCTGGATCTGGAAGGGCTGGAGGTGGGGGAGGGCAGCATCTTGTGAACTGTCCAAGGACTGGGAACTTGAGGAAAACAAGGGCATTAACTACTTCCCAGACTTCAGCCACTTCATGTCAGTTGACTGTGTTCTGTACCAACTCTAATGCCTCATTCCTTGATCTCATGACCTTTCAGGTCCTTGGTCACTACCTCCGGCGGCAGCGAGATCCCAGCTCTTTCCTGAGAGAAATTAGAACTATTGCCAGTGATCCAGATGAGCGATTCTTCTTCAATGTCACAGATGAGGCTGCTCTGACTGACATTGTGGATGCGCTAGGAGATCGGATTTTTGGCCTCGAAGGTAAGGATTACTCTGGAGAAATGGATAGGATGGGAGGAGCTTTGAAGTGTAAGTGGGGCTCTGGAGTGAGTTCAGTAGGTCAAAGGGGGAGCTGTCTTCCCCTGATACTGTCTCAATATTTTCTCATGACCAAGGGTCCCATGCAGAAAATGAAAGCTCCTTTGGGCTGGAAATGTCTCAGATTGGTTTCTCCACTCATCGGCTAAAGGTTGGACAGATTGACCCATTCGTGACTTCTCCCGTTCTCTGATTCACATAACTTCAACAGCAGGGCCCTCCAGATTCCTCCTTTAACCAGCCTCCATGCTTACCTTCCCATTCCTTTCCTACTGAGCCCAACAGACCCTCAGTGACCTTTTCACTCGTGGAACGTTTTTTCCTCTTTATTCTCCACTGTCTTCTCTGTGACCCCATCTGCTCCTGTCCCACAGGATGGGATTCTCTTTGGAATGGTGGGGGCCTATGACTGGGGGGGCTCTGTGCTATGGCTTGAAGGAGGTCACCGCCTTTTCCCCCCACGAATGGCTCTGGAAGACGAGTTCCCCCCTGCATTGCAGAACCATGCAGCCTACCTGGGTGAGTAGCAGAGAGTTGCGGAGGACTTGCAGGGTAGGGGAGGAAATACATCCCTAGTGGGGGGTATGAAATACTCCCTCTTAACTCATGCAGTTTCTCATTGACCTCCTCCTATGCCTTTAGGGAAACCCCCTTCTCTGGATCCCATCTTCTTTCCCTTTACCTCTGTTACTTTGCCCACTTCCAGGTTACTCTGTTTCTTCCATGCTTTTGCCGGGTGGACGCCGCCTCTTTCTCTCTGGGGCTCCTCGATTTAGACATCGAGGAAAAGTCATCGCCTTCCAGCTTAAGAAAGATGGGGCTGTGAGGGTTGCCCAGAGCCTCCAGGGGGAGCAGGTAGGGCATCCAAGGAAGGGTGGGACCTTTGGATTCCCAGGGATCTCCGGGCTGTCAGGGAGGAGTGTGAAGTGGGTAAGAGAGAGGCCTGCAAAGTCTGTGTGGAATTCTGGTTGGCAGAGTCTGTCAGGGATGTAAGGAGCAGACTGGCAGGCTGGTGAGTGCTTCCCACTGAGTCTGCTTGTCTACAATCACCTTCCCTTTTCTCTGGGGTCGTCATCACCCACCCTTCCCCAGATTGGTTCATACTTTGGCAGTGAGCTCTGCCCATTGGATACAGATAGGGATGGAACAACTGATGTCTTACTTGTGGCTGCCCCCATGTTCCTGGGACCCCAGAACAAGGAAACAGGACGTGTTTATGTGTATCTGGTGGGCCAGGTAAGACTTGCTGGGACCCCCCCAACACACACCCTGGACTTCCACCATAGGGATGGAGGGAGAAAAGGAGGAAAGCCACACACATTTGAGGGTTTGCTGAGAGGTTGGGGCTGCCAGATTAGCATCTTCTATTTTCTCTCCCCCACCAGCAGACCTTGCTGACCCTCCAAGGAACACTTCAGTCAGAACCCCCCCAGGATGCTCGGTTTGGCTTTGCCATGGGTGCTCTTCCCGATCTCAACCAAGATGGTTTTGCTGATGTAGCTGTGGGGGCGCCTCTGGAGGATGGGCACCAGGGAGCACTGTACCTGTACCATGGAACCCAGAGTGGAGTCAGGCCCCATCCTGCCCAGGTCTGGAGTACCCAAATAAAGTGGGGGCATGGTTGTAGGAAAGGGAAGGGAGGGATGCTCTTTGCTTGTCAATAGTCCCCTTGGCTTGAGACCCAAACAGAACAATTGCTTTTATTAGGCAAAAACGTAAGGCAGTGAGGTAGGATACAGGTTGCTAATCAAGAACTCCTGAACGCAGGCAAGTTTCTCTTACTCCCATGCCTGATAGGAGGGTTATAAAGAGCAAGGCATGGCCGGGTGTGGTGGCTCACGCCTGTAATCCCAGCACTTTGGGAGGCCGAGGTGGGCAGATCACCTGAGGTCAGGAGCTCAAGATCAGCCTGGCCAACATGAAGAAACCCTGTCTCTACTGAAAATATAAAAAACTAGCCAGGCATGGTGGTGCATGCCTGTAATCCCAGCTACTCTGGAGGCTGAGGCAGGAGAATCGCTTGAACCTGGGAGGTAGAGGTTGCAGAGAGCCGAGATCATCCCATTGCACTCCAGCCTGGGCAACAAGAATGAAACTCAGTCTCAAAGAAAGGAAAGGAAAGGAGAAGCGAAAGGAGAAAGGAAAGGAAGAGAGAGAGAGAGAGAGAGAGAGCTCGAGGCAGGAGGCCTGCGAGACCAGGTGTATGAGTCCCTGCCTCAGTCTCCTCTCTCTTCCTCTCAGAGGATTGCTGCTGCCTCCATGCCACACGCCCTCAGCTACTTTGGCCGAAGTGTGGATGGCCGGCTAGATCTGGATGGAGATGATCTGGTTGATGTGGCTGTGGGTGCCCAGGGGGCAGCCATCCTGCTCAGGTGAGGGGTCCCAGCTCAGGTAGCAGTGGACAGCATAGCATATATGTTTAAGGCAAGGGCCTTAAAGTCACAGATTGAGATTGGGGTTTGTTCATCAACTTACTCCTTGTCTCCATTCCTACTTTATAAAATGACAATAATAGTACCTACCTTATAGGTTTATTGTGAGGATTAAATGAGCTGATCCAGATAACTGCTTTAACACAGTGCCTAGCATATAAGTACTTATTGAAGTGAATCCAGAGCCATGTGCAGTGGCTCACCCCTGTAATCCCAGCACTTTGGGAGGCCGAGGTAGGAGGATCATTTGAGGCCAGGAGTTCAAGACCAGCCTGGCCAACATGGTGAAACCCCATCTCTACTAAAAATACAAAATATTAGCTGGGCCTGGTGTGGGTGCCTGTAATCCCAGCCACTCAAGGGGCTGAGGCAGGAGAATCACTTGAACCTAGGAGGCGGAGGTTGCAGTGAGGTGAGATCGCCCCACTGCACTCCAGCTTGGGCCACAGAGTGAGACTCCATCTCAAAAAAAAAAAAAAAAAAGAATCAGTGACATGAATCTATTATCTCACTTCTGTCCAAGGGTTTGTGGGTAGGTGACATGTGCTTCCAGCTCCTCCTCCTTCAAACACGGGGCTTGCACTTCTCAGAGGGCTCATCTCCTACGGCTAGAATTTCTTTTCCACACTGTTACCAGCTCCCGACCCATTGTCCACCTGGCCCCATCGCTGGAGGTGACCCCAGACGCCATCAGTGTGGTTCAGCGGGACTGCAGGCGGCGAGGCCAGGAGGCAGTCTGTGCGACTGCAGCCCTTTGCTTCCAAGTGACCTCCCATACTCCCGGTCGCTGGGATCGCCGATTCTGTGAGTGACTAAAGGCATCGCAGGCAACTCTCAACCCCTTGCCTGCTTCCTCACTGGACCCCTTTCCACACTCACTCTGGCCTCCTCCATTCAGACATGAGGTTCACAGCGTCACTGGATGAATGGACGGCGGGGGCACGTGCAGCATTCGATGGCTCTGGCCAGAGGCTGTCCGCTCGGAGGCTCCGGCTCAGTGTGGGGAATGTCACCTGTGAGCAGCTACACTTCCATGTGCTGGTAAGGGGAGGGCAGCAACTGCTTTGCATCAGGGCCTGAGCATGAGGAGAAGGCTGGGTTGGAGGAGGAATTTCAGCTGGATCAGCAAGGAAGCCAAAGCCAGGAAAAGGAGATGATTCAGACTCGAGTCAGGGCTGATCTGGGTTTGAATCTAGCTCTTCCATTTACCACCTGTGAATTCTGACAAGTCCAAACCTCAGTTTTCTTGTCTGCAAAGGGGTGATAATGACAATAACTATATCATAGGAGTTGTATTAAAATTAAACCTGGTAATACAGATAAGATCTTAGGACAGTGCCCAGCACACAAGAAATGCTTCATAAATGATCACTACAATTATCACATTATCTTTGGCTCTATGGCTCTTTTCCTTCAGGATACATCAGATTACCTCAGGCCAATGGCCTTGACTGTGACCTTTGCCTTGGACAACACCACAAAGCCAGGGCCTGTGCTGGATGAGGGCTCACCCACCTCCATACAAAAGCTGGTCAGCAGTGCCATGCCCTGCCTCCTGGTCCCAACGCTCCCCTCCTTCAAGAGAAAAGGGAGGGAGAGGACCTGAGACCATGGTGAAATCTGACCTGGGCTCCTCTAATCAAAATATACCCACTTTTGTCTTTTCACTTTCTCCCCATTCTATTCCTTCCCTGCTTGCTTTCCTCTCAGCCCTTAGCCCCTTCCCTTTCTTCCAGGTCCCCTTCTCAAAGGATTGTGGCCCTGACAATGAATGTGTCACAGACCTGGTGCTTCAAATGAATATGGACCTCAGAGGCTCCAGGTTGGATGGGCATGTGCTGGGCAAACCAGGGTGACCGAGACAGACTGGAAGGGACTTGAAGGGAGCTGGGGGAAGGGAGTTGTTTCTTACCCATGATCACAAAAGTGAGACTTCTAGCACTCTGCTCCTTCAACTCCTGGTCTCTCCCTCATTCACCACTCCTAGGAAGGCTCCATTTGTGGTTCGAGGTGGCCGGCGGAAAGTGCTGGTATCCGCAACTCTGGAGAACAGGAAGGAAAATGCTTACAATACTAGCCTGAGTCTCATCTTCTCTGGAAACCTCCACCTGGCCAGTCTCACTCCTCAGGTGCCCTGGGAGGAGGGGGTGGGGGAGGAGGAAAGAAACGAGGAGAAAGAAGATTGGGGTGTTGGCCTCAGCTGTGAGGTGTTGTAGGGAAAGCTCAGTGTTTAGAGGCTGTGGGAGGACAGCAGTTGCAGCCCCAGCTCCAGCTTCCATCTCCATTCCCCTGCCCTCAGAGGGACAGCACAATAAAGGTGGAATGTGCGGCCCCTTCTGCTCATGCCCGGCTCTGCAGTGTGGGGCATCCTGTCTTCCAGACTGGAGCCAAGGTGAGTTGGGGTCTAGCCTCCTAGATTCTAGGAGAGCTAGAGTCTAGGGTGGCTCTAGGAGAGCAGGGACTGGGATCTGAGGGTCCTGGGACTTCAGGGAAGGAGGCACACAAAGGTTCCCGATCCTCTGTAGTTGTTCCATGAGGAAGACTCTACCATTACCCCATGTCCCCTGCCCCTAGGTAACCTTTCTGCTAGAGTTTGAGTTTAGCTGTTCCTCTCTTCTGAGCCAGATCTTCATGAAGCTGACTGCCAGCAGGTGAGAATAAAGGGAACTTCCTTCCAGCCCTCTCCTGCTGAGTCTTGAGGGGTAGGGAGGAACAGCATTGATTCCTCCATTAGCAGAGAAGGGTGTCTTCTGAGGAGGGGTTGAGATGTGAGCCTCTCCTCCCTGACCCTACAGTGACAGCCTGGAGAGAAATACGACCCTTCAAGACAACACAGCTCAGACCTCAGCCTACGTCCAATATGAGCCTCAGCTCCTGTTCTCTAGGTATGCCCAGCTTCTAGGTGGGACCAGTTCTAACTTCAGACTCATACCCTTATGCTTCTTCCCTCCCCTTCCATGTGCCTCAGTGTTTCCAGAAACCCAAGCCCTTGTGGCTGCTCAGTCTTTTTGCCCTCAATCCTGTTTATGCTGAACCTTCCCTTTTAAGCATCTTGCTTTCCTAGGTGTAGGGTTTTGCCAGGCCTTGGGCACTAGAGCTGGGATGAGGGGATGTGGGATGTAGCCATAAAGCTCGCATTGTCTGTGTCATGTTCTGCTTCTGTCTTCTCCATGTACCCCCATCTCTTTATCCATATGCTGGCCCTGCCTCCTCTGAATCCATGTCTGTGTGCTGCTCACATGCCCCTGTGTCTGGGTCATGACTGTGACCATGCACTTCCTGACTTGGTGTTCACACAGTGAGTCTACCCTGCACCGCTATGAGGTTTACCCATATGGGACCCTCCCGGTGGGTCCTGGCCCAGAATTCAAAACCACTCTCAGGGTGAGAAGCTGGAGGGGTCTTGGCATGAGGGGTAGGTGGGGGAACAATGGCTTGTGGGAACAGGATGGGAAGAGTCTCTCTTGGGTTTTAATGGTATCTAGGGCGAAGGGGAACAGATGAGGAAGGACCTTCTGTCTCCCACTTCTTCTTGTTCCCAACCTTCCTCTTAGGTTCAGAATCTAGGCTGCTATGTGGTCAGTGGCCTCATCATCTCAGCCTTCCTTCCAGCTGTGGCCCATGGGGGCAATTACTTCCTATCACTGTCTCAAGTCATCACTAAAAATGTGAGTCTGGTCGGAGTGCGTGGAATCCTGCCACCTTGAGTTGGTGGTCTCACTGAAGCTGGACACCACCCCAGCTCCCTATCTGTTGGGCCACTGCTCTCGGGGCTCCGCCCTCTGGGGGGGGCTTTCTTTTTACATATGTGGCTTATTTGGGAGGAAAAAAAGGGAATTTTAAGGGGAAGAACTACAGGAGTGTGGATATGTTCCTGCTCAGCCTTGAGTGGCTAGCCTCACCCCATCAGGAGGGTCTTCCTCTAGGCAAGCTGCACAGTGCAAAACTTGACTGAGCCTCCAGGCCCCCCTGTGCATCCAGAGGAGCTTCAACACACAAACAGACTGGTAGGAGTCACAGGGGGGTGTCCAAAGTGGGAATGCAAGGGAGTCAGGTGCCTTGGGGCAAGGGGATGGGAACTGGAGTGGGGACGAAGGGCTCTTTCCACCCCAGGGTCCTGATCTGCAGTGGGAATGAAAATGGAGTCACGTGCCTTGGGACAAGGTTGTGTGAACTGGAGGTGGGGGAAGGGGAGCTTTCCACCCCAGAGTCCTGATCTGTCTCTTTCTTCTGTTAGAATGGGAGCAATACTCAGTGTCAGGTGGTGAGGTGCCACCTTGGGCAGCTGGCAAAGGGGACTGAGGTCTCTGTTGGACTATTGAGGCTGGTTCACAATGAATTTTTCCGAAGAGTAAGCCTTTCCTTTTCAACTACTCCCCCCTTCCGCTCCTATCTGGAACTTTAGCATAGGTTTTGGAGGTAGACAGATCCATGCTCAAGTTTCATATTTGCCTCTTACTAGCTATTTGACCATGAGCAAGTTACTTCATCTCCCTAAGCCTCTTTTTCCTAATCTCTAAAATGGGAAGTAATACTGACTTCATGTGGTTGTTATAAAGAATAAATGAGCTGGGGCACGGTGGCTCAAGCCTGTAATCCCAGCACTTTGGGAGGCCGAGGCGGGTAGATCACGAGGACAAGAGATCGAGACCATCCTGGTCAACATGGTGAAACCCCGTCTCTACTAAAAATACAAAACATTAGCTGGGCATGGTGGCGCATGCCTGTAATCCCAGCTACTCAGGAGGTTGAGGCAGGAGAATCGCCTGAACCCAGGAGGCGGAGGTTATGGTGAGCCGAGATCGCGCCATTGCACTGCAGCCTGGGTAACAAGAGGGAAACTCCGTCTCAAAAAAAAAGAATAAATGAATAATGAGCTGGACATATGATGAATGCTCCATGGAAGCTAGTTGTTTTCCTTGTATTTTCCTCCACTTACCATTCCTTAGTGCTGTATCGACATTTACAGGATACCTAAATTTAATCAGATAATAATCAATCAAGTGGGCCAGGCGTGGTGGCTCATGCCTGTAATCCAAGCACTTTGGAGGCCAAGGTGGGCGAATCACCTGAGGTCGGGAGTTTAAGACCAGCCTGACCAACATGGTGAAACCCTGTCTTTATTAAAAAAAAAAAAAATCATCATCATCATCATCATCAATCAAGTGCCTATTATGTCAAAGGTTCTGTATTAGGTTGACACTGAGGAGAATATCCCCAACATTTAGCCCCATGCCTAACTCATTGTAGGTGCTTAATATACTTTTGCTAAATGAATGTATAATTGATAGAACATGCAGGGTTTGTATTGGGAAGTGGTGGGAAGTGAGATTTTGCAGGTGAGAGGGATCTAGATGATGAAAGGCCTCTGAAGCCTGGGAGAGACTGAGCTCAAGGTGACAGGCAGTGAGGAGTCACTGCGAGTTCCTGAGCAGGGAGGCGGTATCTTACTTATGACAGCTGCTTGGCACGAGGGTTGGTGTTGTGCTTTCCCATATCTACCTTGAATAACACAAGACCCCTGGGATGTCGTCATGCGTTTTAGGGAAGTCAAGTCCGATAAACCACCCTTCTCCAAGTCTGTTTGTCCTTCTTTGGTATCTTTTTCTCATTAATCTAGTCATGCGTTCAACAAAGATTCATTAAGAAACCACTGCACACTTGGCACTGTGCTATCTACTAGGGACAGAGGACACAAAGGTTAGTAAGGCACAGCCTGCCTTTAACATGGAAGATCTGCCGGGCGCGGTGGCTCACGCCTGTAATCCCAGCACTTTGGGAGGCCGAGGCGGGTGGATCACGAGGTCAAGAGATCGAGACCATCCTGGTCAACATGGTGAAACCCCG